CACAAAACAAATGTGAGCTTTTTCGTTTAGGTTTTTCTTTTATAATTTATAATTATTTTTAATATTTTAACGCTGTAACGAGGAAATATGCACATAGATATTTATACTCGTATTGCTTACTCCTTAGATATGTATCTACACCTCGACGCGGTTGTGTATAATAAGTATGAGTGTAACCTCAACGGCATTCAGTCAATTGGGAAATGAAAGAAACGATGACAAGTGGCTGTGCCATATGACACTTAAGGCATAAATAAGTGCCAAGTGTGTTGAGTGTGGCAGCGTGAATGCGTGTAAAGCTCCTTGAAATTGTATACATAAAAATATGTATGTACATGTATTAGGAAAGCCGCTGTAAATCTACAAAAACCAATTTCTGTTTTTTAACTTTCTTTAACTTTTATTCTTTTAAATTCCTATATAGCTATATTTCTTATTTCATTTATTATATTTATTTATTTTTTATTTTATTTTATTTTATTTTATTTTATTTTATTTTATTTTATTTTATTTTATTTTATTTTATTTTATTTAACTTAATTTAATTTAATTACATTTTATTTATTTTCAATTTGATTTTTTTTATCCGTTTTTTTTTATTTTGTCGTCTTCACTTTGCCTTATATATTTCGTATTCTTAGAAAGCACGTAGCTGGCACCGCCCATACAATTGTGTGCCTCAAACGTGTAACTAAAAGTGCTCCTAAATGATGCTGACACTAAATAATAGCCTTTGTAGGCATTTGCTAAGTAAAAGCTTAAAATTTTTTCAAAATTGTGCCACGTGCATGAGCCACCTGCAGGCGACACTTGACAACATCACTATGAATTTACAAGCGAAAAAGAGAAAAGGCATAAAAAAATAAACTGCTAAATATCACCAACATTAGCATGCAGCAAGCATTGCATATGGCAACAATTTTGCATTACTCCAACTGCCACACCATTTTACATACACACACATACCCTTCTATGCGCATACATTCCTGACAAACGTGCGAAGAACAAAGACGTGTACCTTTGTTGCGGAAAATTGGAAAATCGTTGCATAACTGCAAGTTGCCAACAGCGCACAGTTCAACCACTCCTTAAATTGCTGAAGTTGCACGAGGCGTGTTGCATACCACGAGCTGACGAAGAAAGCTGAAGTTTTGCTACATGCAACGCTTAGTGTAATTTTTGCCAGGTTTCGCTTCCGTAGTTAAGGAGTAAATTTATATTTCACTCAGCACTCATACATACCCAAACCCCTTCGGGGAGACAACTTCTCATTTTCCACCATTAATGTTTCCCGTTACTTTGCAAATTTTCCATTTTAATATGAATGAAATTAAGATGAATACTCGTACTTGTGTATAAAGCAGTGGTTATACGCTGAGTACGGAGCTGTGGGGACAGAGGAATGTCAGCAGTAAGGACAAGAAAGCATGAACGGCTGCAAAGTGGCATGCAACGATGAAGTATGGCAGCAAAAGTCATGCAACAGCAACGACTATGTGAAGTTGAGCGTTGTAGCGCCTGTGTCTACACTTTACCTGGGCTTGTGCAAATGAATGCGCCACAATGCGTCACAAGTGTACTTAACACTAACTCATTCATTTGCTTTCTGGTATTTTTCCTTCATTTCGGTTTTTTATTGCTTTTTGTGTAGATATTTAAAAAAAATTTTCCACATTTTCATTTTCATGATGTATTTCCTTTGCTAACTAAATGAGTACTCTAGTTGGCTTTGGAGCAATAATGTTAAGTGTCTCTGTTTGCTGGTGAACGAGGAAACCTCCTAGTCCGTGCAATTAAAGTCGCATTTGGCGCACCAGTGCGTATGAGTAATGCGTTGGGTGGTGAATGTGGAGATGGTTTGCTATGCGAGTCAAAGAAGAATTTTCAGTAAATGAGTAATTTATGTCTGCAGTTTTTTTGCTCTTCTCTTAGATCATTGTTGTGGGTAAGTAGAATTTAACTGCTGTTGGGGAAATTTGAAAATGACCTTTGCATTACCGTTTTTAAATTAAGTATGTAAGTAGTTGAGGTATTTGTTAATAAATGCACTTCATGCTTTGTTTAGCGCATACTTATAAACATATCTACGAATAATTAGTGAAAGACTTGAGAGTTAGAATTTAATCTCTGCGTGTGAAGATATATGTATTTATGGCCTGGAGAGAAAAAACCTTTCAAAATCACTGATGAAATTTTTTGTTTTACTTAATTCAGTTATATTTTTTAATTTTTTTTATTATTTTTTATTTTGTTGAATTTTATTTCATATTTTATAATTTTATTTTAGTTTTCTTATTCTTTGATTTATTCTACTCTTATTTTTTCTTATTTTATTTTACTTTATTCTATCTCGTTTTTCTTTACTAAATTTTGTAATTTTCTTATTTTTATAAACTTAGTTCATATGTATATTATTATAATTTTTCTTTTAACATTCTTTTTTTATTATATTATTTTATTTAATTCTTTTTTCCAATTTTTTAAATTAGTTCTTTTGTTGAGTTTTTTTTTGGTTTATTTAATTTTGCTTTTTATTCCTTTCAATTCAAAAAAACAAACTCACACTTGGCATTCTCTTACCCTCCACTGTTATTTCGCTGGCAAAATATTTCGGTCTGGGCGCTGTAGTTAATGGTAAAAGGACCCACACTTCTGTGTCTTTGTGACGTCCATTCAACTTCTCGGACGGTACTTATGTCTGTCTTTGGTGTTATGAGGCCACGAAACAACTGGGCCGCGGTTACTTCCCTATTAAGAAATAGGACATCAACTAGGGAACCCTATAACCGAATAAGTCCATTTGGTTCCACTGAAGCGACTGTAACTGGATACCCAAAAGTAAAGCTGTATCACCTTCATTACCAATCGGAAGCTACGATGTTTGCCCATCTTTCTGGCAGTTTGTGGATCACATTCCAAAAGAATTTCTCCGGCGTGGAGGTCAAGAAAAAATCGAGCAACTTTGTGATGCCCTGTTCCGAAGTGAAGCGTACTCCAGTGAGGGCATTCTGCATTGATCTGAGCAAGTGGTAATCGGAATGTGCAATGTCTGGGCTATAAGGCGGAAGAGGTAGAGCTTCCCCCCCACAGTTTTCCAAATAGTTTTGAGCTAGCATTGCAACATGTGGCCGAGCCCTGTCATGATGAAAAATTATTGATTCGTATCTGGTCGCATATTCTGGTCGTTTTTCAATGATGGCCTTTTTCAAACAAATAAATTGTTTTCGGTAGAGGTCCCCATTGATCGTCTGACCCGATTTCAATAGCTCATAATAGAGTACACCCTTGTGGTCCCACCAAATACATAGCATAACCTTGGCACCATGTATACTCGGCTTTTTCGTTCATGTCGATGGTTGGCCGAGCTCGCATGTGAAGATCTCTTGCGCTTTGAGTTTCATAATGAATTGATTTTTAATTGCCAGTGACAACCGGATGGTAAATGACTTTTTTTGGTGACATTGAGGCAACATTTCCGACATACAGAATCGACGTTCGACGTCTCTTGGCTTTTATTCATAAGGTACCCAATTTCCAAGCTTCTGTATGAATCCTATTGATTTGAATTGTCTGGAAACGGTTGATTGATCAACTACTTATGCAAGTTCTGTTGTCTCGAATTTTTCGTGTTAAAATTTTTTTGCCTGTCCGGGTCGTTCTCCGTCGTCTAAGTCGAAATTTCTAAAGCATGGTCAACATAAACGTCCAGTAAAATACTCCCTCGGCACGGAATGTCGACCCCACCGAGTGTATTTCTGACATGAAATAAACGCTCCTCGTAAAAAACCATCAGCCGTTCGGAGGCGGTCCCTCCATTTGTTGAAAAAACATCAAGACGCAAAACCACAATTTTTAGGAGGAACTCGGTGGAAAATCGATTCAGTGGTTACACAGCGCCAATTTTACATATATATTCAATATAATAAAACTATAATTTTAATTTATAATTACGCTTAAATTATTCTGCCAATCGCGAATAATCTCTTTTTCTCTTAGTATAATTGCAGATTTTCCGCTGGAATGCATAATGATAAAATAATATATGTATGTACCAAAAGTAAAATCAACAAGCAATAAAGCAAGAACAAACGCATAATAGATATACACAGGCGTAAAATAAATAAGAAATTGGAAATATTTCAACAAGAACTCATTGAACAATCAACGTTCTATTGAAAAAAAGTGCAAACTCCCGTCAATAATTTCATACTGAGTGCATATTCGCAGAAAAAAATTGCTGGAAAGAAGACACGAAGAAAAAAACTAATTTTCATTAGATTATTAAAGCAAAAACAATATCGTTTCGTTTTACATTTATGCAATATTTTAATTAAAAGCACAACGAAGCTCTTGGAGTGGGTACTCAAGTTGGCTAGAGCACAAAAGGGAAGCAGCAACACTCAATAAATTTGATAACATTATTTTGCTAATGAGATCAAAATCAATGAAAAAACGGAATGCAGTCCTTAAGAAAACTAAGCAAATTTGCAGCAGGCCGAAAGCACTGAAAAAGCACTGATTCGTCAACCTTTCATTTCATTTCGTCAACGTCTCATTTCATTTCCCTGCTGGCATTACTGCGCTGAAGTGCAATCCAACAAATAATACTTATTATTTCCTTGCTAATTTAATTTTAGTTTACCTTATTTTGTGTAAACCTCTCTTATCTTGTTTTTTTTTATTTAATAGCATTCAATTTTAATTTGTTTTATTTTCTTTTTTATTTTATATTTTTTTTTATTGTTTTTTATTTTGTTTAATATCACTTAATTTTTTTAACCTCACACTTGTTTACTCAATTGTTTTATTTAACTTAATTTAAATTAATATTTATTTTATTTTATTGTACTTTATTTTATTTTATTTTATTTTATTTTATTTTATTTTATTTTATTTTATTTTATTTTATTTTATTTTATTTTATTTTATTTTATTTTATCATACCTTTTTTATTCTTGAAGTTGAAGTCTTTTTAATAATTTTCTGTAACAAAAGGTTTACTTGATTGAGTATGATATTTTTTAGAACTCTTAATATTACGTTTACATTTCAAAATTTTAAATTAATAAAAACAGAAAACATATTTTGCCGTTTTTAACAGCAATACGAAAATTCTAAAATATTTAACAGCGTCTCGTGTCTGAAGTGTCTATTATTCCATTATAAAAATTATTAAATTAAAAAGAAAATGAAAAGTGCGACAATAAATTCCGTAAATTGTGAAAGAAAGCAACCTACGTCAAATTAGAATACTGGAATTCAAAAAAGTTTAATGAAAAAGAAAAGATTCGAGAGCATAAAACAACAACATAATTAAAATAACCAACAGCTGCAAGACACAATATTGCACAACAGCAACAATAACTTATATAAAAATTATCATATAATGAAAGCGAACATTTCCACAGCTGTTGCCACCACAACCACAAATATGTTACTTCAACAGCGAAGGCAACGGCGCCCGTGTGGCAGACAACGACGAGGACAACACCATCACCGGCATCAGCGTTTGCCACAGCCACAGAAGCTAATATTGGCGTTTGTCATCATCATTTGCTTGCAAGGTAAGTAACACGTCAACATTAATTTTCTTATTCCTTTATTTTTTGCTTTATGATGTTCTTTATTTATTTACATTTTTTGGATTTTCTTTTTCACAATAACAATTTGTATTCTTTTTTTTTTTTTTGCATATTTGCAACAAATTGCCACGTAGCAATAAATATATGTTGATATCATTTGTCGCCATCTCATGTCGTATATTCGCATCGACGTGTTATTGTCATATACCGTTATGTTTGAAATGTGCCTCATCATAGCCTTTGCGCTGCAGCGTATACGTCTATCCGGTGGACCGAAGACAAATAGGCATATTATGTCATTGTATAACAGATGTGGCCATTTGGCCACGTGTGCATTATAATGGTAATATATCTACGTATACATACGTGTGTATGTGTATATGTGCTTTAGCTTTGGAATTCACCGTAGGCGCAAATATGTACTCTATTTATGGATTTGAGAATATCATGTCCTGTGCGCATCGTTATTATAATTATTTTTCATCAAATTCACATCATTGCCTCAAAGTTATATGAGCGTCGGTGACTGGGACATTTTTGAAGCGATTTTTATTTGTATTTTTTTTTATTTGTACATTTGTCAAGTGACTTTCTATGGTGCATTGTGTTTGAGGCTTTTGAGTTATTAGCTATTGAAGACAAATATGACGTCAAAGACTCTTAAAAATTGGTCCTTTCTTCTGGAGCGTTCCATGTCTTTGGCAATATGAAATGACACTTCATTATTCGGCAATTTTTTAACTTGTTGCTCCCCCACTTGGTGACTTTTTGCAATTTTTTCATCGAATATTCTATTCTGTTGACTTTCGTGCAGTGAAATTTTCTATTTGTTCATATTTTTAGAATTCTTTTGTGTAATTAAATTTGATAGCTTTGCGGCAGGTTCTTGTTTTATACCACCTTGACACTGCTGTTTATTTGTTAATTCGTTGAGAAGCAGCAGAAAAAACGTATTGGTCGTACTTCGTTTCCCAGCAAGCTCATCCAGTTTCATTGAGTTTCCTTCGATATCGCACATGAAAGACAGTGTGTTCTGCACTCTGTAAAGCTCGACGCCAGTCAAGAACAGTTTTAGATATTATTTCTTGTATTTAAAGCTGGCTGCGTGTTTTGCTGCATCCGTAAATGCAGTAGTCAAGTAGTCTGAAAAAGAGTTGCAAAGGTGGGACTCATTCGGCAACTCTACCCCCAAGCTTTGTTCCATCCGTGTATATTTTCAGACTGCCGTCGGAAATGTGGTTGTTATGTTTCTATTCTTTACTGCTGGAATTCACGCACCGAAGTAATTATCAGTAAATGTAATTGGACGGCGTCTATCGCTCTGTTTTGGTATGGAGTCGTATTTATTCAACATTTCCGAGTGTCCTCATAGCTGAGTGATTCATTGATTTGATTCCTTTACACAAAGAGCGGTTATTGCTGCCAACTGATATAGATATCTACAAGTCCAGTGTTTAGTATTACATTTACTGGGCGTGCTTCTCTCCTCCACACAATTGACCCCAAAAGAAGCGTAGGCCACAGACCCCACCTCCTACCTACTGCTCCTTTGCATGTATAGCGCGCAGCCTTCTCGTATCTTTGCACTGATTGCCTTACCAGTTTAGGTTCTTGTCTAAGATCACTCCTAGAGATTTGTCCTTCGCACATAAGCTAAGTTGAGTACCGTGAAGTCTCTGTAGTATGACAGCGGAGATTTTATGTCTGCTTGAAAATAATATTAGTTCCATTTTGTTTGAGCTATGTTTCGCTTTTATAAAGTTAATCCTAGATATTGACCTTCAGATCACCTCTTTGCGTATGTTACCATGCTCCAGATTTTTCGTAGAATCTTCGAGCATTTCCTCCTTTTTTCAGAAGCTTAGGCTATTCGTGCTCACTCATATCGCCATTTCGGTGTCTCGCATTGTGGTAGTTTCATAATCCTCATAGTGTCAACTTTTTTTAAGATTGCCTTACAAACCCGGTGTTAATAGAGAACAGTTGCTCGTGTCGGGTTGAAACACATTTTTCCATATATCAGACGGCTCCTTTTTGATGTCGAATTTTTTTTTTTATTTTTTTATTGACATTCTTCGTTTTTCTAAAAGTTTTGAAACATAATATCCAAGTGAAACCATGTCGCTCTCCACCTCAACTCTCCAATTGAGTGGCGGTATATCCATTTCTCAGCTAACACCGCAAGATACTTTTTAATCAGGAGTAATTTAATGCATTCGGAGAATGCGACCTAGGCAACGAAGACGCTCGTAAAACCGGTTTTCTCAAAAATATCCAGCACTATATAGCAGGCCGAGAAGTTTGAGCGACAGTTTACTTTTTGGTCGTCGAGAGAGATCTTAATTCCTCTATTGCACACTCAATCAAAACTAAAATCTATTGGCAGGACTGAATCCATTTTGGAATTTTTGCTGCTTCCTAGATAAAGGACCTGCAATGTTATGACTCTCAGCAGGGTCTGAAAGCAAAGATGCGAATGCGTTGACCGCTTACTTAAAAACAGGAGTTATTTCGCTTATTGTTCTCATTTACTAACAGACTCATTTTATCGAAGGCGACTTTAAAGTCGACAATAGGTGGTGTATGCTCAGTCTTTCATTACAGGTTATTTCCAAAAATTTACGCCAATGTTGATTCATCAAGTTCAAAGGTGCATTAACAAAGTACGATAAGTCGTTGCCTAATGGTTTTTGTCTTTCACAAAGTACGCTCGATAAATTTTTATCTTTGATATAGACGAGGCTAATTCTACTTTTAATTAAGCAGATTGTGAATATCGCATTCTTTTTGGATTATATAGAGCATATTGCAGTTGGCAGGCATGCTTTCGTTTGACCGTATTCAGCAAATAAGCTGATGCATGCACTTCGGCAGTTCCTCCATACTTGAATGGCTAGCCGATAAGCTATTGATCCCGTCGCTTGGTGAAAATTGTCATAACTTCTGGTTTCTGCTGGGACTTGCTCGCCGTAAACACAAATTGCATGAAAATGTGGTTCCTTTTCATTATTCAGAGTAACCGTCCGTCTTCAAACGGGTTAAAAGGTTGGGGGAGTAAGACCTCACAACTAACATCCAAGAGTGAGAAAAGATTCCGCAACTTCTGTCTAACTATTAGGTGTTAGTATGAAGAAATACATTATTTTTCGAATAGATGGCATTATTTATATGTATCTCTCATTGTATAAATCCCATCGGCTTCTGCAAGATGGCGTTAGATAGTCGTCATTTTATACTAAAAAAGATTTTTTCACAGTTTTGCGATTGGCTGATTGAGTTTTATTTGAGCGTGCATTAAAGGTGGACACCAGCAAAGAGAAAATACGCTTTATTTATGAATTTCTCTTCGATAAGAGCGAAAACTCAAGCCAGGCGGCTAAAAATGTGAAACGCGCTAATGCTTCTAATACTATTAGAGTCAATCATGCACAATTTCATTTTCATTCCGGAAATCTTGATGTAAAAGATACTACAAGGAGTGGAAGGACTATTTTACGAAATGTCGATAAAATCAAGGACATTGCCGAGTCCGATCGTCATGTGATCGTCATGTGAGCACTGTTTCGACTGCCCAAGCGCTGAAGTTTGCCTGAAAAAGTCATTTGGAACCATTTGAATAAGGTTGGATACGAAAATTAAATATTAAAGCTTACAATTTCATGCAAAACTAATGAACTAGACCAGCAAGGCGGCAGTTACTTATCGCCTCTAAAGAACTGACGTCTACGATTTGGTCTTCACAGAGAGAATGTAGTATTTCATTGCCTTCAAATGCCTGATCTTAAGTTAAAGCAGGATAGATACCCGAAATAGCGAGCAGAACCTGACATATTTTTTCTTATGCGACCTGTCATAGGCCTGAGGCTAACCTTGTATATAATTGTCCCAGCAGCTGGCAATTATTGTGTGATTTAAATTGTTCTAACGGTGATCTGCTAAGATGTGACACTGTGGTCTTCATATGATGTGATATGTTGATGTAGTACGTTGAGTTAATTTTATTTTTGTGCGAACTCTACGTCCTGCCATTGAATTCGCCAAAAATTTATCACTTTAGTTCATCTTGTTGGTGTTTACGTGGAGCGTTCCAAGCCGGTATTTAAGAAAAATTTTGATGCTATTTTTATTGAATTAAAAAAGCTTTTTTCAGTTTTAACACAGCAATGAGAGTTTTTTCAATTATGAGAAATAATTTCTTAGTTTAAGACAAAAATCAGCTGTTTGAGTTAACTGAAATTCGGTGGAAACGTTTGACATTTCATTCACTTAACAGGTGCCTTAAATGCATTTAAGTGTTTGGTGGAAAAAGACTATTAGTTTTGTCTTCCAATAAAAACAGGGCAAAAGTATTTGTACAGCGGAACTGCACGCATATTTGTATTTAACCAATATAGTTTTTGAAAACCAACTTTTACAAATATCCAATCACGTAAAGTGCAGGATTCAACTCAACACCTAGTCACTTCAATTATATTTTCCACCAACAGACACTCGAAACTCTTGCCTTTCATTGCACTGTGTATGGAGGGAAGTTCAAATTGAAGCATCAACAATTTACGGACACCAGGGTGTTTCTTTTCCGCTCTTCTAGATATTGCAAGTTTGAAATTTTACTTATCGAAATAACAGTACAAATTTTTTCGGGCTTTCAGAAAAGCAAAAAATACTAAAATTGTTAAGAATTCTTCCATCAGGCATTTGTAATTCTCTCATTCCTGCCACTCTATACTGTAGTATTCCATAAATATTTCAGTTTTCATACCTGCGTATTGATTTTTTACCTTCAATCTGCTAATGTGCGTGGCACTTTGGTAAGAGTATGTATGTCAGTATGTACGCAAACGGTGTAAATAAGTTTTCCATTTGTATTACAACTCATATTTTTCGACAACTTTTAAATTGTTTGTTAAATTTTTCTTGCAGCCGCTCAGCAAATTGATTTTTTTTTGACAAAAATAAATACATATGTACTTTTATGTATT